AATTATACCGTATATAAAATGCGGGCATCAGGGAGCCGCTATTAATATGCGGGGCATTGAAACTGCCTTCGAATGCAGGATCGCTTTTTACTTTCACTTTCGAGATTTGCGATCGCACGGGAACATACATTTATTTCCATGATCTGCCATTTTCGCTATTATCCTCGCTTGTTTTTCACAGTCAGTGCTATGTTCTGATTCGCCTATTTTTCAGTGTTTTTTTGCATGCACTCGATTTCCATAAGGAGGAAACAATGGTGTTTGAGGCTCACGGTATGACATTTCCATGTACAGAACTGTTATTATTCAACTATGCCAAGGTAAATACAGTTTTCCATTCTATGGCACCTTTAAGATAAAGGGCATGTGGGAGGAAGTGAAGCAGAAGTTCCCAAACATCTCGACACCAGGTACATACCATGGCGCAGTTACAAGTTACAAAATATGCACATTTAAAATGAATGAATTAAACACCATCACATAACTGGGCTGAGAAGTATATGATGGCATACCATTCAACAAGAGAAATGTGTCAACCTGTAGAGATTTTGCAACATCTTTTCTTTTGTAGCGTTGAGGTGCAGTAACAAGCAGATATATTGACTTTTATCCATTTAATAGTATTTGTTTTATTGTTGGATGTTAGATGTATTCAATCATGACAAATCCAATTTTTTGGGGTTTTGTTCATAAAATTTCAAATTAAAATTAATAATTAAATAAATATCAAATGAAATGAAGTACTGAAATGAAGTAATTTGTAAAGTTATTATTTTGCTGTATATATACATACATTATATATATACGTGTGTGTGTGCGTGCGTGCGTGCGTGTGTGTGTGTGTAATATACAAAAAATTAAAATATAGAAAATAAATTAATACTTGCATTCAGCAAGGATGCATTAAATTGATGAAAAGTACATACAGTGATAATTTTATACATCCTGAAAATAATGTATTACGGTTTCACAAAAAGCATTAAGCAGCAACAACATGTTTGAATATTGATAATAATAATAATGATAATTAACAAATAAAGGCATAAGATATTTTATTCAAAAACATTAAGAACAGCCTTTATCAAATTGTAAAAAAAAAC